ACGGACTAATTGCTTAAAACGTTACCACATGTAATATAAAAAAATAGTGTAGATACAAATAAGTAAAGTTATAAAATATCTTTATAATAAATATTACCGGGCAGACCCTGCTGGCAATAAATTCCCCAAACATTAATATAATTTTCGGACATTAAATCCATTGAGAAATATCCGTTTTTTGTCTTCATAATAGTCAATAGAATAGAAGCGGTTATTATGGTTAATAATAATGCTATCCAAATATCAAAGCTGAATGACTGCAAGATTTATGGTGGAAGAAAACAATTTATTAACTAGACTTTGTTATCGCAAATCTGCATCTTTATAAATTATTCTAACTTTCTGATTTTATCTTTCTTTTCAATGGTAGGTATAAAAAGTACAATACAAACAAACTTAAATAACTTAATTTTGAATTTTATTATAGATAAGATTTAACATTTAATTTTATTGATGCAGAATGAATTAAATATTTTAACTTTGTAAAACTTTTGTGAATTTATTATTACAACCTGTAGTTATTTTAATTATTACCTTGAAGTATGAGTTCCATTGCACATCGGATACGGTTGGTTTCTTAAAATAAAGGAGATAATGCGGGCGTATCAATGACATCGTAAAATCGACTACATTTCGTCTGCTGATCGTCATCGTGAATGCGGCAACGCCGATGTCGGCTTCATTGGCCACCAATTGGCCGATCACACCTGTCCAAATATTCTGCTGCTCGCTCCAACTACCGAATGTCTTCAATGGATCCAAAATCTCTATCGTGAAGTTCATCGTTTTACTAAGCTCTATCAGTATCAGACCCAAATACCCGCCGAACTGACCGTCCTCCAGTGAAAGTAGCCACGCATTCTGAAGCATTTATCAACAGAATTGTCAAATCAATCTACGAATCTGTTGATCATCGTTTAATTCTAATATCGCGGTAAATTTTAAAATCAATTTCCAAGCGATTTTTTTTTCAAAGCAATTACTTTTTACGAAAGACAATCGTCGCTCACGACCTTTTCTATCGCTAATCGCAACCGTTAGTACGGCTCACGGCAAAGTTCAAGAAAGATGACAACTTACTTTCACGGACGCCACGCGCACAACTTCGCCGAACATATCGCTTCTCCTGGCATAGATGCTCTTTTGTGTCTTCAAGATCAGACCTCTTTCGGGGGACCACGTGGCAAGATTGAACGTTCTGGTGCGATTATCACGTAGGGCATACCACTCGACCAGGGTCGAGAGATCGTAGCACAAAACCAGCATCTGGGTACTGACATCCACATTGAATACGTTATCGGTAGGGTGCGTACAGTGCTCCTTGAGGGGATTCCCAGGACATTGAAGGAACACGACAAACCAGATGGGGAAGGAGATGGGCCTTATGCTTCTCGTGGTTTTAGCGAAC